TTTAATACACTATATAAATTGAGCTATCCTTCCCCCTTACATTGCTAAATTTTTGTCCACAAACCCTCCCCCCCCCCTATATTATTCGAACTGGAGATTACGAATTATATACTGCTTGCCAAAATTAAATTATTAATTTTTTGCCTTTTACTGTAAGCGAAACTATGTTTGGTTGTTCATTCGTTTTCGTGGCAACTTATTGAAGGGTATTTTGCACTGAAGAGAACTGGGAAGCCTTTTCCAAGAATGGCTGTAGATTTGACTTTCGAACAAACTGTTAACGCAGATGAGCCAAGGAATAAGGATCCGTCCACTGTACTCGATGGGCAAATAGTCATTCAATGCGTGTCTTTCCGACTTGTTTAACGAACATGGTTTAGATGCAAACGATATTTCCCATGATTTGAGCTGTTTGGCTGTTTATAGCAACAAACATTTCGAGTGTGAATAAGTTACACAAGCATCTTGGAGCTGCGTTATCTTGGAGCTGCGTTATCGGAGCAAACCATGCACTTACCGGCTGTGATTATACTGCATCTTTTATTAGAAAAAGCTGTCAATGTCCATAGGGATGGTTTTATTCGTCACTGGAGTCCTCGCTTGGGTTATCCTCTTCATCTACGCAAATACGGTCAATTGATCTAGGAGTTACATCACCATTAAACCACTTTAATTCACCTCATCATCAGTTAAAACACATCCGCTATTTTTCTGAATGGCAATTTGGGGGATTATTTGTTGATGCGTTTATCCTTACAGTACAAGTGTAATTCGCACTCTTGATTTTCAAAGGTAATATGCGTGGGCACGATAGCAAAGACCTCGCTTCTATGCCTTTAATACTAGAGAGACACATATCGCCATTTGTTTGGTTTGTATTTCTTTAAAAATATTTCTAGAAGAAAAACTTCAACTGAAAACATTTTACATGTTATGCCACAGATAATACAGACAAATCCTTCATTAACAGTATTTACACAAGAAGAATCGTATTTACTTTTATAAAAGAGGCAAGGCTTTCAGAACATCAACAGCTTTTTCTATTTATTTTGAAGTACAAACTTCCCCTTCCCGACTAAATGATGCAGTATGCTCAAAGCCAGTGAGTGTTGTATGTTGGTAAAGACTGATAACCTTGCTCCAAGATTCTTGTGTAACACATTCACATTTATAAATCCACGGAACAATAACATCCATATTACCTGCAGGATTATCAATATCATCTGTGCGGATGACAACTTTACTAGGAGCTCTAGTAGGGAATAAGTGTGGAATATTCTTGAATCAGTCTCTTTTTAATATTTTTTTATTGAATAGGAATTCCTTTCTTACCATAGTGGCTGCCTTTGCTGCAGACCCAATGTTGAAAATAAATTAATGGTTTGTCGAGCCAAAGTCGAATAATTAAATGGGCTGATTCCTGTTCTTTGGCTAGCAGCACCTGCGTTAATAGTTTGTTCCAAAGTCAAATCTAAATGCTTTCTTGAAAAAGGCTTCCCATGTTTCTTCAGCCCAAAATGCCTTTTCCGGAATTGTATAGTGTATTAAAACTATATAAATGAATAGTTTTCATAAATGCAATAATTCATCTGTCACTAACATTTTTCAGAATCCATTAGGTATTTATTCATTATCAAAGAATCAGAAAAGCAAAACTTTTAGAAACAAAGCTCCATATTATTACACCATTCCAATACAAATATTTGAAATATTTATTTGTTTTTTTTTTCACAATGTTGTAAGATACTGAATAACATTCCGAATGATTGTTGAATGGGGGTTGTGATGTTCCACAAAGGGAAAACAGAACGTTTTGAGACATAAATTTAATACTAATCCTAACTATCTAACATTTAGCTATAATTAATGCAGTGTGCCGTGAACTGGGCATGGAATGCTTAATCTTTTTACAACACCAGATACCATTTCTCATTTGAGTTTTTCGCATAGCTAACAAACATTTGTTCTACTTTGTGTTAGTATTTTGAATCCTGCCGCGGTTCAAAACGATATCATTGATAATACATTATTATTTATAAGCTTTAAATAGAGGGAATGGGGTGGGAGCTAAGTTATAAATGTCACCCTGACTTGAGGAAAGATCCAACATTTATGGATAGATTTTCGAAAAAATCACATTACCCATGCACTGATACATATTTATGTTAAGTTTCAGCCATGTAACTGATGATCTCACAAAAATCACCATTTTTAGGGCGTGGTCTGACTGACTTTAGAGCGATCTGACTTTGGGAAAGCAGCCAAATGTTTGGTTAGATTTTTGAAAATTATATTTTCCAAGTACAGATCTTTGTTTCTGACTTGGGGAAAGCACTCAAATGTTTGGTTAGATTTTTGAAAAATATATTTTCCAAGTACAGATCTTTGTTTCTGGTAAGGTTCAGCCATGTAACCAATGACCATACTCCCAAGATAGAGACGATAAAACCCCACACTCGATAGGAACAGAAGGGCGGAAGATTCCCTATAACCGTACAGGCAAGTTTGGATCTCAGAGGAAAGACAGGAACCAGTCCTTGTAGAGAAATCATAGTAGAATATCCCCTGCAACAAACTTGTCAGGACTGTGTTAGTTAATTAAAGTATTATATTTCCAGGAAGCGTTTCGGGCGTTTGCCCTTTATCAACTGGTTACAAAAATACTCCCGTTAACCGGGTATATATAGACAATAGAATTATTGCGCATGCGCATAACGTTGAGGATTATTAATCCCTATACTGTGATTAAAAAAATAATAATGATATAAATTTAGACATTTAAATTTTTTTTTTTTTTTTAAATAATTATATTTTGTCTGTACATCCATTTTATTCATATTTATCATTTTTTCTATTTTTTAAAAATTTTGATGTACATTAATGATCTTAATTTGTCTAAGTCAAGCTTGTTGCCGGGGATGTTCTACTATGATTTAATGACCATACTATTAACCCCAGTTTTAAGGCGTGGTCGGGCAGACTTTAGAGCGATCTGACTTGGGGAAAGCCCTCAAACTTTTGGTAAGATTTCTGAAAATTATATTTTCCAAGTATGGATCTTTGTTTCTGTTAACTTTCAGCCAACTGATGACCATATTTTTAGCCCCATTTTTAGGACGTGGTCTGGCAGACTTTAGAGCGATCTGACTTTGGGCAAGCCCCCAAATTTTGGGTTAGATTTTTGAGAATTATATTTTCCAAGTATGAATCTTTGTTTCTGTTAAGTTTCAGACATGTAACTGATGACCATATTATTAGCTCCCGTAAGGAGATATTGGGTGTGGTCTGACTTGGGAAAGCCCTGGAAAATTTGGTCAGGGCCCAGTTGCTCGAAATCTTAACTAAAGATAAAATCCGAATTTTAGTAAATTCTTCAATTTTGATTGGCTAAGCACTAAAATCAATCCAATATTATCCAATCAAATTACTCAAATTTGGATTTTATCTTAGTTAAAATTTCGTGAAACAGGCCCCAGATTTGTGAAATATTTACTCCAGCTATGGATACCTTTGCTTTTAGACGTGACGTTGTACGTGACAAGGAGTAGGGTCGCCTGTCCAACCTCGTGGGTTTTCTCCGGATCCCCCCACTGCTAAAAACCCCTACGTGCAAGCGAATTACTGAAATAAAATTGAACCACGTGTTAGTCCCGAAATGACCTAGTTTGTGTCTAGTGGACGTTAAACCCACTCTATCTGTCTCTCTCTCTCTCCCTCTCTGCCAGGACTATATGCAACGAGGACTGGCTGAAAAGTTCTAAGCCTATCTGTGAAAGACCTGTAAAAAGTCGATGGTTCCCATATATATTTCAACATGGTCCCCTTCGAGGTGTACACACTTTTGCCAACGACTTTGCAAGGTCTGGATGCCGGTCAGGAAGAAATTTTCTTCAGCCACCCCAAAAACGTCGTTCACATCTGACATGACGTCATCATTACTAAGAAAATGACGACCGGCTAGTTGCTTTTTTATTTTTAAGAACAGGTGCAAGTCTGATGACAAATCTGGCCAAAAATTTATCAGGATCTGCTTCAAAACTGCGTAGATTGTCACGGGACGTCAGGAATCTGACACGTTTCTGATCCGCAGTCAAGAGCTTTGGCACCCATCTTTCAGAAACTTTTGTCATTCCTAACTCGTAGGCAATAATGTGCTCAACCCTATCATGAGATGTCCACAACACTGGCAATATGTCGAGTTTTCAATCATCGATCAGCCATCACCATTTCATGCACTTGGGTAATGTTATCTTGAATGGTTGATGGCCTTCCAGGACGCGTGTCACCGCCAAGGCGCTCTCTGCCACGCTTGGATTCCGCAGCCCACGTCTTTACTGTGGAAAGAAAGGGGCATCATCACCTAAAATGGAGACCAAGTTGGCATGTATCTGTGTTGCAATTAATCCTAACAGTTGCAGGTACTTGATGACTGCCCTATAGCCAGTTTTGTTCATTTCTGCTTATTTCAATGGGTAGGTTCACAAGATGGTCTGGTACGAAGACAATAATAACACTACAGTTGCAGTACTTATGTCCATGATTCATTTAATGATTGTACTTGCTGGTGGCAAAGGTTTGTTTCAACTCAACTGATCTATCCTTTTGGGGCTTAGAACTTTTAAGCCCGCCCCCCTCCCCCCAACCCGTAACATAGAATTAAACAATTATGTCCTTTCAGGCTAATAAAGACGGACATGGGTCATACAGTGTGCTACGGCCTATTCATAATTCGACTTCCAACGGTCAGGGGTTCTTTTACGTACACGACAGCGTGTAGAAGGGATCTAGGACGACTAGGTATCTTCCCCATGCCCCTCGTTCTGCACCACTGCCAACACCAGGATCGGACCCGGGATATGCTGGTTCGCGGGCCTTCGCCTTACTCACTGAGCTTCCGAATTGCCCGCAGTGAATTATAGTCCAATTCATGGCGATGTTCAGATTCGAGGAAATTTCAGATTTGTGCCACATAAAACTCAAACCATAGAATTTAATCCAACAAAAACTATATGTATTAGTGACACTAAAGATATAGATTATTATGATATGATATGATGACAGGCATTAATGGCAATAGTGTATTTATATATTATATATTATTATTATTATTAAACAATATGAGTCCCTTACACCATACACTCAACATTCCGTGTAACAGGCGGCACCGTGGAATATCATACTTTTGGCTCCTTATATATGATAAAATTTAACATTTCAAAAATAAAACAATTCAACAATAGCGTAATTATAACGTTAATATATTCTTATTCCTCGCATACAATCACTATTTTCCTGTTTTGGGATATCGCTGTCTGTTTACACCGTCTTTAATCACTTTCCGAGAATGCTATCACCTTAGCACAATTCATTCCTCGTACAATCACCCGGAAACTACAAATCAATTAATCGTTTGATTCTTTAGAATTTGATCCAAGTTTTTTTTTAAGTTTTAAAAAAAGAATTAATTACGTGCACCATTATAGTTAATTGGTAATTTATATATTATAATTATTTTTATACCGTATATTTTTTAGTTTTATAAACATCTTTACACAGTTGTTAAGTATCAAATGATTATAATATACTTTATTAGTCAATTATTATATTCAGTTATACGCTTGGTAGTTTATCCTGGAAGTTTTATCTTCCAGAGTTTCGTGTTATGTAAAACATCACTTTCACTTTATTGTTAAGCACAGTTGAAACACGACCAAGCAGTATGTCACCTGGTGAAACTAGGACTATGTGATCGCGTCAACACCACTAGTCCCGTATTTGAGGTCCCATTTGTCCAGGGTTCATGCTGGCGATCGTTTGTGGATAATAATCCTTTCACAGCGTGTTTATCAGCAGATTTCATATAACAAACGTCCTGAACATTGCCCGACATTTTCCATCGTTTGGCGCCTGGTCGGTATACTAACTTTTTTTTAAAACATGGAAACATTTTACATATGATGGACCTCACATCAGCCTGAAATAAAAATAAAAATAGAAACATTATAATGCTTTACATGTCTTACTTCTGGGTAGCCGGGGACCCATTTAGTATTACTTCTATTCTTGTTGGGGAAATCAGTATTTGTGTTCTGTGGCGGTTGTTCAATATTGGGAATATCTGAAAAAATGTGAGGGCCGTGGTTCATTTACACGTAGTTAAACATACATTACGCAAGAGCTAAATCTGCCTATTGCAGGTCTTTCTTTAGGCCTGAAATGTTTTCTAAATTATTAATAAGACATTAATTAACTAATTCAGGCCATAATCAACTGTCGATGGCATCGGATTTCTCCGATATTAAATATATAAGAACGGTTCAGCCATATTTTAATTTAATTTAAAAATGGAGAAGCAACACTTAGCTTCAAACAACCAGTACGGTGGTTGCAATTATTGCAAAACGTTTTGTCAAACCTTCAAAGGCTAATATCTTTGCTCGCAATAGAGAAATTGGAATGAAATTGTCAAATTATTCATTTTACATTATCTATTTTCGAACTATTATAGCTCTTTATCTAAATCTTACATAATGTATCTTTAATCGAGTGGATTCGGGAAATTCGTATATCCAGACGATTGCATAGTAATGTAAGCATTTAAACTTCCCATATTAAAGTATATGCATGGTCCGGTACATCTATAGTTGTGTACCTTAATTACGCTACGACAGAACAAATATCTCGAGCCTCACCGCTCGCCTCTTTGTCAACAGCTACAATTGTATAACTAAATGATGGAGACTAAACACCAACAGTTTGATAACAATCTCTTTCATTATTTCCGGTCTGGGCCTAATCAAATATTAAATTTGGTCATAATATCAATTCTGGCATCCTTACCAAGGGTAGCTAGTAAGCTGTCGAATTTGCCAAGCTGGGGAACCATTAGCTAGAAAGCAAATCCGTAAAGAAAATCGTATTGGGATTTTTAATATATACTTACTCTGAAACTTTCATTCATAAAGCCGTAAATTACTGGATTAACAAAACTATTGGACATGGCTAACCAATGGACGCCAAAATATATTCTTTCTTGTACATGGTAGTTGATTAACGTGGGATTAAAGTCCAGTATTAAAATAAACGAATGTAAAGGTAACCAACATAATCCAAATAACATTACTATTGTTACCAACATCTTTACTACCTGAAAATACATATATATTTTCTTTAAAAATGATTTACACATCCAAAACATATAATATAGCATTGCTTCAGAATGATACTCGAATTGAAATGAAATGGGGTTTAACGTCCCAATTTGCTATTCCGGGAAGCCACGGTGTCTCGGTAACTAAGGCGCCGGCTCGGAGGTCCCGTGTTCGATTCCTGTGTTGACCGTGATTTTCCGGCGTGGTTCCCCCTTGCCAGTGTATAGTCGTTCGGATGGGACGAAAAACCGAGGTCTCGTGTACACATAGGCATGCACGCAAAAGAACCCTTAGCAGTTGGAATTCGATATAAGATTATGACATAGCGCTTCTGTGCGGGGAGAAAATCCCCTCCTAACACACGAACAACTTAGACACAATCGGAGCAGAGCAGCAGGGCGTTAAACCCCATTTTATTTTAATAAGCTGACGTCAGCACAGCATTCAAACCGTTTTACAGCAAAGATGAGAAAACCTTGACACAGATTATTGCAGAACACCACAGACAGATTCGTGGCACTTTTCATTCAGAAATATATGTTCTAAGATAAATTCGAGAACTGACTAAATCAATGGCAAACTGATTTTCACCAGGATTTTGTTCGTATTTAAAAATTGTTTTTGATAGTTTAAAAGCACAGTGACGGATTACATGCAATGGTTGTGGTTATTTAGACAAGAAAATGTCAGTCCTAAAACTCATCAATTTAACTTTTTTTTTGTAGTTTTCATCTTGTATCTAAGATGGATTTGAATTAAAGCAAACACGGTCTCAATCAGAAATCGAGTTAAATGCAGACAATGAGGCTGATAAGTCATCAATGGCGTACATGTACAAAGATATTTTTAAATATTGATACATTTCCATTAGATTGCAATAAAATATTGTTTTTTAATCCATCTCACATTAAATAGCAAAGACGGGATAAATAAAGTATTTAAAATCTTATATATCTATGCAGTCTCAAGAAGAAGCGCGAGAGAGCAAGATGTCGCATAACCCACGTGAAAATTTTCACCAATTCTCACTGGTAGACGACAATGATCTATTACATCTCACTCGGCATCCATTATGTTTGTTAATTTGAAAGCACTAATAGAAATGATTATTGATTGGCGGGTCATTTTGGATGTGCAACACTACCCCCAAAAGAAAAAAAAAATACAGAAAAAACCTCTGATTATTCGACTAGAAAAAACCCTCCCTAGAAAAAAAACTTTAATCATCTAAAAGTCATCTGAAAGTTAACAAAGCGAAGGCTTATTCCGTACTAAGTAATACATGAAACCCTTGCTATTACAGAAAATATGCCATCACAAAAATGATTTTATTGCTAGGCATAGTTTGTCTGTAATTTAAAACCGAACTCAACCTAGATCTAGATGTATGATCAGACTGAAAATCTGCAGTATATTATAACCCAGACAATAGCAATAATTTACAAGGCACGAATATATCACAACTAAATAATACTCAGGGGTAGATGATTGTTTACTCATTTCCCCGTTGTCTGCTTAGCGATATATGAGTAGTTTCAAGTTGTAAGGAAATAATCATAAATACTAATACAACATTGGTGACTGGCACCCATGGGGCACATAAAGTAAGGTGAAAAGACCCCCACCCCTTCCAGTAAATCGTTTTATTGTTTAAAATAGGTCTATAACTTCAATAGTCCCCACACAACAGGTCTTTAATTGTTGTCCACACCAGAGTAACGACGGTTCCGTACATCCCGGTTCAAAATTTGCACTGGGTTATCTGAACAGTCAATGCAATATACAGAAGATATAAGAAAGCAGTTCTGATGGATAGTGCTACTAGTATGAGTAATCCGTCTTCATTAGCCCAGTCGGAGCAGAACAGTAGGACGTTAAACCCCATTTCATATCATTTCAGTCAAAACAATAAAATTAAGTTAACACCCGTAGTAATCACAACAACAAATGTCACAAACCGTTAATGGTTTTCAAACTTAGAGATCGATACAGGCGGCACAAACATCCTTCGGTGTTTTCGTCCTGTGCCATCTGGGTACAACATAAACTGTATATTCGCGTCTTGGTTGTCTGTATTTGTTATTTGGAAAACTGTTCAGTTCATTTAGTGGCTGTAAATTGTCTGTATTTATATAAATACACCAGTTATCTCATTGTTTATTGTCATCATATAGAAATATAGATAGTCTCCAGACAATATCTAATAATTGATAGGACAAACAGATCAATCATTGTCAAGAAAATGATTAGCTTGACAAAAGAAAAGAAACAACAAAACCATAAACAAACAAATAGTGTCTTGTACTATAAAGGGTAGCTTAGGCTTAGACCAATTCGAATTCATAACTTGAGGAGTTCAGGTAACTTTCATAAGTATAATATTATATTATTAATTTATTTGACACGTCCTGTTTATTCAAACTGCAACATTAACTATTTCTTGTCAGGGGGGCGATAACTTAAAAAATTCAACACGTCTTTCTATGTTCACAATTATTGCATCGCCTTTATAGAATAATAAACGACCTTTCATGTATCTAGCAGACAGTTTACTATCTAAAAGTCATTGGTTTAATTCCAAAGACTTCCATGTAAGACAAGATCCATATTAGAGATTGTTCAAAGTATGTAATCTGCAGGAGACGTGATAGTTTTAGATACATAAAGACATGCCCATTAACATTCAACAGCCTACTTTTCACTAATAATAGACGAAATAATAACCCGACCACATCCATTTACATTTGTTTTTTTGACTATCGATTTCGGGCGTACTGGGATTATCACAGACGGAGAGCACTTGTGTATCGCTGTGTAGGAGGATAGATAGTATATTGGGGGGGGGGCACTATTTCATTGGATATATTAATGCATTAATATATTAGGCGTTATCATGCGATACTAACTGAAAGACATTTTCTCGATAGTTGGGATTCTAAATACATCACCATCTATTGGAAAACATATCCAGGAAAACATTGTTGTTACCAAAACATCATGATTTCGAGATACTTCAAGGGAATCATTCTTGAGAATCTACCAATTCTGATGTAGCTTCAATTATGTATCACACTTGCAAGATACTGAATTGACGAGCTCTGTGTTACATAGTGAGAGCTAATATACCAACGTCCGTCTCAGTGGTTGATGCTCTGTAATAATGAACTCGGTTAAGTTATTGTGTAACACAACACAGTTCTGTGGATAACATGATTGTCATCCATAGAACTGTGTTGTGTTGTATTTTGTTCAATCGCTAAATGCCATTCAAAGATTATAATCTATTGTGGATTTATTAGGCAATTTGAACCTTTAAATTCAGTCATTACATATATCATAGATCTAGATAGAAATAAGTTTAAGAGGGGGTCGAACATTTAAACTGATCATGCTCGGCGGAACACATCTTTAAATCTTAAGCAACAATGCCAAAAATGCAGATAGAACTAAGTTTACGCGGGTTGATCATGATCATGCTCGGCGGAACACATCTTTAAATCTAAAGCAACAATGCCAAAAATGCAGATAGAACTAAGTTTACGCGGGTTGAGCATGACTTAATTATGCTCGGGGGATCCTAGATTTAAATAAACAACATAATACCACGAAATAAAGAAAGAGCCAAATAAAATAAATGCACCTAGACAGTTACATTTCTGGGAGCCTCTACTGTTAGCCTGACAAAATATTTCGACTAAAATAATAACAGCCTACGAATAATAAAAATGTCGGTCTCAGAGAGACATATTTTTTTAGATTATTCACATGTATTGTATAATAAAGTTTTCGAAATTACAAATCTTTTCAAACGTAAAATTACCTAGTTTTTCCCCCATTAGCACGTAATACTTAATCTAGTCTCTCGTATTTCACGCCCCTGGAGTCCCTCTTTACATTTATCCAATTTAATTCTGTATCATTCAAATCCAATCATGACACAGTCAACTAAAACGCCATAACACCACAATCAGCCTGTTGATAGAACCATACTATCTTCGATTATCAGGAACATCTGTTAGTTCTGAGTTTAAATATCTGACCACGATTCAGTAAGTGATATTCATTTTTTTCGGATTTAGCGTCGACAAAATCAATCATATTATTTCAAAAGTGACTTTACGGTGGTACTAAAATTACAAATGTAGACAAATATCCAATTCACAAAACAATCTATATTCAATTAAGTCTCGTATTTTTTTAGTCAATTCAAAGAGTTCTCGTCATTCTATTAAGGTAAACCAAAGTGACATTTTAGTATTTTGTTCGGAACAAACGTGTGTGACAGAATTGTTCCATTTCAACGAAAACAGTTTTTTCGGAGACATGACTATGTTTTCAAACTGTAAATTATGTTTAAAATGAGTTACTTTCAATTAAGTCTGGTGATGTAGAGCAAAAATATAGTGTGACCTATGGTATGTTGCCCGTTCTTAAGATTCACGATCGCTATAGCTCATGTCATATCTAGTGTATTAAATGGTTATTTCATAGACATAAATTCCACTATGATTATTTCTATGTTCCAGATTAGTAATGGGAATTAAACGCTGTTCTACTGAATGGAAGCTAGAGGTTTTTTTACGTATCTATAAAAGAAACGCATAAAAGTCCGCCGCAATAGCAATCGGTCGCGTATTAAGATTACAGGAGAAAATTTGGCAAATTGTCATTAAGGGGGTCAATGTGTGTCAGTAGTAATTTTCTTGTTCATAATTCCTCGTATACATAGAAGACGCCACACGCTAGATTGACAATCGGTCGTTATTTAACAATAAGAAATTTATTACTTTTCTTATACAGAAAGAAAGGCGAGTATAATTATAATGAACATTCCTATCTCTTCGGTAATCAGAAAATTATATTAACGGCCTTGGCAAGTAGTACACTTAAGTGTAAGATGTCTTGAAATGACGTTCAGGTGTGCACCCATCTTCTTTTAACGACGTTAGAAGAAATGAAAGGGACTAAATCCTTTTGTGTGCTATATTTCAAGAAA